TTTTTTTTTGGGGGGATGAGCTCGGAGAGGTTGAGTGTTGGGGTACTTACGATTGCAGTTGTCACGAACCCGTAGAAAGGACGTGGTTGAGGTGAGAGGTCTCGGAAGATATGTTTGAACCTGCTCCGGAAGTCTGGTATATGCGCATTGAGTCAGTTGTTGAGCACGAGGAGATGGGAAGAAAGGATACGTACAGTTCGCTAATTGCCCCGCGTCCGCTTCCTTCCCCTCAAAGTTCTGGATGTAATCACTAGCCTTGACCCCACTCCTAATCTTCTCCGCCAACAAATCAAACTTATTCAAAAACACTAAAAAAACCCGCTCATTCAGTTCCAAATCCACACCAACTTAAACCTCTCTCGATAGGGCAACAATAACGGAGAGACTCACAAACAATAGCACACGTAGCCAACAACTTCGACTTGACGATCGCCTTCCACAGTATCATCGAATCCTGTAACCTATTCACCCTCGGATCTTCCGCCAACGGTTCATCGAAACAGTTTATAGGCGCGAGGAAGAGTATGGCCTGGGCGTCGTCGAAGAAGGGAAGCCAGGCTGCTCGGGAGGTTCGGGACCCTCCGACGTCGTAGATCGCCCATGTGTGGCCGTTTTCGCTTTTGGGGGCTGTCATTGGGATAAGGTAGCGATTAGGTTTAGTTTCTTGGTTTTGGTTAGGGACGTGTGTGGGAGGGCGGAGGGGTGGAGGGGGGCGAAGGGTTGGGAGACGAGGAGATGGGACGTTTTGGGGGCGTTTTGGGGGACGTACCTGTGTTTTCGAAGACTAGTTTGTGTTCTTGTACGCCTAGAGTCCGTAATCGGGCCCTGAGCACGTCGTCGTCTGAAGGCTCGTACTTTCGGCTCGCGATACGGTCCAAATGTTCCATATAGCTAAAATGACATACAAGGCGAGAACGGTCAGTCGGTCCCGTCTTCCAAACCGAAATACTGATTCCCAAGGCGAAAGAAAAGGAAAGGAAGGAAGTGAAAGAACGGTGTAGACACTCACTATTCCGCTGAATCGCCTAGTCTGATTCCTCTCCTCCTCAATAACTCTCTGACGACCTGATCGTTCCAAAGTACCCATATATCCTCCTTGCACCCTGCAATGACCCCAGCGGTCGCTTCCAAATCGATGATCCCCTTCGTAGGCGAACCCGGCCTACCAGACTCCGACGCGTGTAAATTCGCATTAGACCCTTTCATCCGTAGGGTAGACCTCCAATTCGAGTGAGCTCGGACTGCAAATTCTGTTGTGGTCCGACGACGTGTAGATAGAGTACGTGAGGGGTCATTTGTGATCGTTGCGAGAGAGGATCCGTATGGAGAGGAAGAGGAAGTATACCCTGCGTCAAAAGGGGTAGCGTTCAATTGGCTTGTTATCCCGCCTAGATTTGTCGCTGTGACCTCCTCAGTCCCCGCACCAAGGAACCGCTTCAGATCTGCTTCGACACTTCGTAACGGCGCAAGACGAAGTTTGAGGATAGAATGTGACGAGTCGAATCGCAATCCGGGTAATTTCGAATCGATCAAATCCATTCTGTGCGTCTCGTCTTCATCATCACTGCTCATATGGGGAGAAGCGAGATCATCGGGTCGGGCTGTAGCCTCCAGGTCTTCCATTGACCACGCTGCTGAAGGTGGTCTCGAGGCGTTCGGAAGGGTGTAGGGTGAATCGGGGGAAACTGCGGACGGTCGTGAACCGGGCATGGGTGGGGGTGTGTTTGAGGGTGGGTAGAGCATCTCGTCGGAGAGGGCATCGAGGATGGTGTTTACGACCCGTACGAGGTTGAAGTGGATAACGGCTCGCCAGGATGCGCGTTCCTCTCGCCATGCTTTGGGCGCGAATGTCAGCTGAAAGTCTGTAAATCATCAGCTTCTCTGCCACCACAATTCAATCCTCGGCATACTTTTCAAAGTCGTGGATTTTCCTGTAGTAGTATTAGCGTCTGTAAGACAAAGAAACCTGACCCCGGCGTACCGCTCTCGCTTTGGCCTAATAGCAATAGTTTTACATCTGGCCGTTTCTTCTTCATAGCTGCGCGCTCTGCCTTTAGAGACTCGTCGATCAAGTCGCTCACACGCTTCTCTTCCGCTTCCCTGCGGACCCGCAAGGCACGCTCGTCCTCCGTCTCGTTCGGGGGCGGGCTCATGAAGCATTTGAAGGGATCATCGTCAAAGGAGAGCCGGGGGACGGGCATTCTGAATGCTGCATCGGGGAGGATCATGGTGAGCAAAAGGCAAGGATGTTGCTCTGGGAAACGGGGACGTTACCGAAGAGTGTGCAATGACGAATAGAAGAGGAGTGCTGCTGCTTCGTTGGTCGGTTACGAGAGCGGCGATAGAAGGGGACGTACCTGTCGGCGCTGGCTGATCGTCTCCGAGGGGGGAGACGGGGGAGGGGGAAGGAGGGAGGAGGACGGGGACCATGATGGAGATATAGTCGGGGGAGGGACGCGCCGCCGCTACACGTTTAGCGAAGTTCCTTGGACGGGTTCGGTTCGATTGCGTCTTACTCGACTGGGGCCGCCGTCCGCACACTAGGCACCCATCACGAAATTGAGAAATTGATCGTATCGGGATGACCTCCTCCAGATCCCTCTTCTGCTTCCGCGAACCCCAGCCGAACCCCAGCACCGTCCTGCTTCGAGCCCGCCTCACCTCCTCAGCGCGACCACAGGGCACCCCGGGGCACCCCCCACGCTCGTTCGGTGCCCCTCCGACCCTCCTCACCTATCGTGGCCTAGGCAGGCGGCATTACAACCTTTTTTTCGCCTGTCAAAGTCAGTGCATCGCTCAATTGATCTTGAGAGAGACTCATGATCTACAGATTACTACATAACTCGGCGGCTACACGGTCAGTTGCGGCGGGTTTTATACGCTCGTCCTTACCGGTCGCCGTTCTCAGCCTTCTGCCGTTACCCCACCTTCGCAACATCGCAGACATGCTTCGCACATAAACACCGGCGGTGCTCAACATTGACTTTCGAGGCCCACGCCCGGCGTTGACTCGGGTTGCTTCTTTGGGCTTCCTACTACACCACGTCACCGCGTCCCTGATCGATCGGGCCAAACTTGACATGGGAAGCGTCCTTAAACCTCCTCTCGAACGGTGGCGGTATCCAGCTCGCTTCTAGCTGACATCCCTCAACATCCTCCGCTATAGCATGTCGCCTCCACAACCCAAATGCGCCACAGTCGTTCCTGTCAGCAGGGCTGCAATGGTCCCATCCCTATTAGTCTACCCCGGCCACGCTTCCTTAAATTTTCCAGAACACAATAGACTGCACGCACATGCACACCTCATGTGTGAATCACTGTCAGCTCCGGGGACCCTTCGAGATAGAACCTCAAACTTTGAATCTATCCTCTCCTTGGCTCCCCCTCTCATGCTTACGTTGCCAATATATCCTTTAGAGACCGCCAACAAAGAAAAAAAGGCGGACGCGAATTCAAATCGGTTTCGTCACTTGGTCACGTCAGCACCCGTCCCCAATTCTTTTCGCCATGGAAACATTGTGTGTCCACCCGTATTGTTCGTCGATGGCCCGAACACTTGAGACACAGCCAGTCATGCATCATGTTAACGTCCGGGGTTCCCTGGGGTGCCCCCCCCTATTCCTCGAGGCCTGAGAGTTATTCGTCCGTCTATGGTATGTTTCACCCCCATCGCCATTATCCATATGCATGCTGCCATGCTCAATCCCAATCGTTGATGGATGTTATATAAGAGGTCGTCGACCGTACGACCGCCGGCCGAGTCCCCATGATGACTGTCTCCAGCTGTCTCCCTGATACATATAATACTCGATGCTCGTCCAACAACCGTTTCCCGATTGTCGAGCAAAGCTCATATATATGTCGCAAAAAAGTTTTGGGCCTTGTAACGCTCTTCGGCTTACAAGCGGTTGCAATGCGGGTTACAAGTGGGTTACAACACATTATGACTCCCCTTACAACCTATTTTGACAGGATTTCAAGAGATTGTAAGGATTTTTCGGCTTCCAAGGCATTTCAATGATAAAGACTGCCTGAAAAGGGAAGTTTTGTTTTTGCGACATATTCAAACGGCTATTCCCGATCTTCCCATCACTCCCCGGGACCGTGCTACGTACGCAAACTTACGATGCTTTTTCGTCCCTCTGGTGCTTTATGCTACAAGCCTCAAGCTTCAGCTCGTTCTCTTGAAATTCTGCTCACGAGGGACTCGCGTTTCGTATCCCCTCGGACAAAATCATTACCATCAGTACTTCCTCCGCTCCGCCGTGTTTTGTCGCGATCACCGCTCAGGCCTTTTCAGTCTTCAGCGCATACGGTAAACGGTTACAAACGGTTCCACGCTATGAAGCTAAAGTCCGTAGGTTTGATTTGGTATTTACTCGAGGTGCGTCATCACCGGGGTGTACGTAGCGAGATATTCCCCGGGCCTGTGTTTTGAGATCCCTCGAGTTTCGAGAGTCGAGAGTCGAGAGTCGAGAGTCGAGAGGAGTGTGAAATATGTAGTGTGTCGTGGTTTCGTAAGTTCATGTAGATGTAGATTCGACCTTGACAAATGACATGTCGACGTGTCATCAAAACTTGAAAAACAAGTACGTCTTGGTCTTGTTGGTGAACTTGAAGGTCAGCTTTTACCTCCCGGGCCGTCAGAAGTGGGCATAAACACAACGCACCTAGTCTGAGAATAATGAACACCTGAGTAATGTGCAGTTATCAGTCTCAGTAAAAGCAATCATGCATCATGATGATTGTACTCATCGTAACCTAACAGACGGCGGAGCAGAACTCTCAAAGTCGTTAGATATGTAGTAGTCTCGAAGTAGTCTCTTGAGTCTTACCCATCCGTTCTGGTGAACGTAGTGAGGTGCGAGAGAACGTTAACAACTAGGCACGATACCATCGAAATAGAAAGAAAGGAAACACCAAACACAACCAAAAAACAGTATGTAAGGTCTGCGGAGGAGACTCAGACTACAAAAAAAGGAGCAATTTGTGGAATTCAGTTCGGATACGGGGAATCGAACCCCGAGCTACCGCGTTGACCCTTGGGAGTCAGTTGACTCTCGAAGTTGAGAGGCGGTAATGTTAGCCATTACACCATATCCGACTGAAGGGAGATGGGAGGAGGTGGGAGTTGTTGTCAAGGTAGGAGTCTGCCGTTGTTCGACTTGTTATTGACGCACCGGTACCGGTAAGGTTGCATCTTCTGAAGCAGACCACCACCACTATGCATTCTCGCTATTTCACTTCCATCTCCAATCGAGGTTCATCGGCAGGGGGTGACCTCCAAAAATTCCGGAATTCTTGAACAATAGGTCGGAAAAGTATAATGGTTGGGCCTCGTTAGGTTGAGTAAGTACGTACCATCGTGCAATCCATTTCTTCTTTCGAGGTAGGTACAATCATACAGTAACTGTATACTACTCTCAAGCTTGAAGCTTTGAGCCGGTCCTCGGGCAGATTGGTCTACCGGATTCCAGGCGGGGATCGTTCCTCCTAAAGTCCTCATACTAGACAGGTGCGTTCACGGTTCCACAAAGCACCAGGGTTTTGTGGACATGTGGACATGTGGTGCAGTCTGATAGTTTGGGTTACACTCGAGCTTCGTGAGTCCATCTTGATGCTGCGGCTCGAACTGAGTTAAAGGCATGGATTGCTGATTATGAGTCCTCAGCCTTTGGTAGAGCCATTTGGAGAGTCTTTCGAAAGTGTTCTGCTCATTGAGTCCATCCTGAGGCTGCGGCCTGAACTAAGTGAAAGGTACGCATTACTGATCATGAGTTCCACTCTCAGCCCTTCGTAAACTTGAGGACGCTTGGAGGGTCTTCCACGTCATTCCGAGCCGCACCTCTTCTAACCATGCTCAGGCTTAACGCTTGCGGATAGTGCAACGTACTGGAAGGTGAACGGACGATATGCTCTACTTACTCCCTAGAAGCCCACCCATGGTATGTAGGTACCGCGAAACTCGACGTGGTCAGGGATCTGCTGTTCCCCAAATAACCTTATGGCAAAGGCACCGTTCAAGTTTACGTCCCGGCTCATTGGTCGTCAACCAGGGTAGTCATCAACCAGAGCTCTGTAGGATACCGCGTACGCTGGCTACATTTTGCTGACCAGGCCCCGCATGTGTCGGGCAAGAACAGAGGTAAGACTTGCCATCGGTGTGTCAACACTGTAGAATGTCTCTACCTAGTACAGTGTTGCGCCGAGGAAGTACAAGTATGATCAACATACAGAATTCTCTGGTCCTAGCGTCAATTAAACTGCATGAAATTGCAGGGAACCATTGTCAGGATGGATAATGCGGGTATATTACCAGGTTGCAAGTTTTTTGAGTCGTGCGGGGGGCGTGCTTGCAGTGACCGTGGAACTCCCGCGCCAAGTCAGTATCTACTTTGCTTCATCCTCATGCAGGATATCGTAAGATGAACATCTCATGTGCGTGCCTTCGTTGTTTTTCGTCCGTTTCTAGCCTCAGACCTCAAAGGTTAAGAAGTGATCTTACCTGATGAGGTAGCCTGTATAACTGCCGTACACCTCAACGTCGTTAGCACCAGTGGTCGATTAGTATCATAATATATTGCGACGTAATGAAAGGGTGCACTGTACTACCGAATGTAGCGAGGCCGCGATGAGGCTGTCAGAGACAGCCTGGGGCTGACTCGAGTCGAAAACGCGGAGAGCGCAACGGCTACTGTTTGTACACGCGAAGGAAGTCCTCCGACATTGGCACGTCAACAGTTACGCACCCTCAAGACGGCACATCGATTCCCTTGTAGAAATGGTATTCATCTCCTGAGGTCGGTACCGAGTAAAAGTCGTCGTCTTGTGGTTTCTCGATTGAATGACTGTGCAGGACGAAGTTAACAAGCAGTCACCGGGGATGAAATTTCAGAGTACGTACGCAACTCGAAGATGGTTTGAAACATGCGATATGATTTGCAAGTCGGGGTCTTCGGCGCAACGAGCACAATGCCAGATTTTTGATGTTGCCTGCTGGGCCAGAACCTCCGCTCTCAGACGAGCCTCCGCTTCGTGAAGACGAAGTTCGGCATTCTTTGACTTTGGCACCCAAAGCTTGTAAGAGAAGTCTTCTATGTATCTCTCGTGGACGAGCCTACGGGAGCCATCGTCATCAATCGTCATCATTCCCATTATATCGCAGTGGCACTGTGCCGCATGAAAAACCTGGAGAAGGGATTGGTCAAATAGAACACTATTGTATCCGCGTAATACTACTCACCGCAGCTCGCCAATCGAAAACCTTATGCTTGTCCCCCGAACCAGAACAGACAAGGCAAATGAATCTGGCATCTAGTTTGTCGAACTGCTCCGCCGTCGTGGATAAAGGGTCTAGACCACACATCTTGACCATGTCTGCTATCAAATCCGATATCCAAGGCTTAGGATCCTCAAGTTTTAGGACAGTATCTCTCGGTAAAGGGCATTCAAGATAGTCTAGTAGTTCCGTTATCGGGGTTGAGTTCATGTCTGGGTGCATTTGTTTGTCATTGCCAATCAGAAACGTCCTCTTTCGAGGGGCCTCGTACGAGGAATGTGCAATCGCCGAGCGGATGTCATGTGGCCATAGTCGACCACCGTTGGCAAGGAGCGGACAATTCTCACAATGGCAGAAGAAGTAACTCCCGACAGCGAGAGTCAAGGGATCGCCTTCGCCTCGGAATTGCAATGTGTCTTTGACATATGTGGATATCTTCTTCCGCTGGACATCTTCCCAAGCCTTGGTGATTTCCGGAACATGGTGTCTCATGGCCCGGAAAGATTCCTCTGTGACAGACACATCTGACGGAGCACGGATCAGGTCTGCAAACTCGGAATTCAAGAGAAACTCTCGAATGCCAGGGAGGAAGTGATGAGCATCTACTCTGAACTCTTGCATAACGCGCTTCAGGGTCTCCAGGCGAGACTTCATCAGTTGTTTCTCGAGCGTAGGTAAGACCTCTTGATATATCCTCGGCCACACTAGGTCTGTTTAGAAAGGAGGAGAGAGCATTGGAAAGACCACTCACTGCGCAAATTGAATGGCTTAGCTTGCCTCACAATAGGTAAACTCTTCAGACATCGAATGGCGAAGCAATTTGCATCCTCGGACATGTAATCAAGGACGGGTCTCCAGTTCGATGCCCGCAGTTTCTGTACAATGCTAGGGAGGACGTCAAGATCGTAGGAGGTTATGTCATATTCAGCTCACTGACGCGTCAAATCTGGCCTCGCGAATTTCTCCTAGCTCAACTTGGCGAGCGAGTCTTCTTTGATTGTTCCATAGAATAAACTCATTGCATTGCTACAGAGCATCAGCATCATATAAGTGAAACTACAATTAAGAGAACATACATTTATGCCGCGTGTAGATGAAATTCGCTGTTCTTCGACCCAAGCATCCCTTTCTTCACTGGTGGCCAGCCCTTCTAACATTGTTTGAAATCGTTCTAGTTCAGGCTTGTGTACCGCCGCGAGGTCTTTCCGTAGACCTAATACGGAGCTGATAAGTTTCGGATATATGATCCAATCGAGACAAGCTCACCTTTGACATTGACTGCCAGAGTTACGCATGGAACAGGATCGTTTCTTGAACGAAAGTACGGACCGACAACTTCGTGTTCCAAGAGCTGATCCACAGGTACAATGCTGGTATAGTACGCGATTGAGGTTAACGCAAACCCACGCTGAATAAGTTATCTGCTCACTTTGCAAGCTTGCAATCGCTGCAGTACCTCTTTCGAAACACCCAGATCGGCTCTGAAGTATTAGATTTCAAGCAGCCCTATATTCGATAGAAATATCAGTGCCATTACAAAATACCAAAATTATACGAGAGTCATACATGGCAGTGCGAACTAAAGAGTAAATTCGCGAATTCAGGTTCAGTCATGTCATCCGGGATATCTGGCAACCCCGGTACATTTGCACGCGCAGTCCTCCAATGCACAGCAGACTGCTTTGACATGAGGAGTTGTCGGAATGCCTTGGTCGTACGAGCGAGATTGAGAAGATCTAAAGGACAGAGATGGGAAAAGACCTATGTATTGATTTTCAATTGTGATCGGTACAGTTGGGTCGGAGCCAATATGGCGGTTGGGCATTACCTCGAAGATGATATCAAGAGGCATTTTCGGGAGCTCTTCTAGTCCACCTCTACGACGACGAATGCCACGGTTGGTTTCAGCACCATTCCCTACACCACTTTCGAGTTCCTGGACATTGGATTTCGCGTCCTTTCTACTCCGTTTACGTTGAGACATTCCGGCCGAGTGGCTCCAAATGAGCTTCACGAGGCTTCAGGGGGTAACATTACTTAGTGACACGTATATTCTGGAATGATACATACCAAATATCAGGAAGATAACAAATATTCACTCGTGCAGGTTGAGATGGCCCGGTCTAGCACGAAGTGGAGAAAGACAGCAGAGAGAGGGTGCGCACTGGCAGTGGCAGAGGCAGAGCGGAGAGCCTTTCGACGCGACTGTCACAGGCACATGATCGTGACATAAATCAAGTACTATCATTGGACCGGTAATGCAAAGCCGCCAGTAATGCAAAAAGTGATTCTTTCTCATTTCAAACCTCACTGAAACCCACTAAAATTATGCAAAATTCATATACAAGTACCACCCTTGTAGGTGAATGCCACTGTAAAGTTTTGACATCGAAAACACCCAATGTCACTTCGATAGTTGAGTACGAAGTCTCAACTTGGGTAGAGTGCAAAATTTGATCAGGCTCGCTTCATGTCCTAGCGTCCTTATTTCCACCGGAAATGTTTCCAGCATGCTGAGTACGCTCTGTTGTGTCTTGAGACATTTTTTCCGAGAAAAGCACTTGAGAGGAATGCTGTTAACTTTGAATACGAGACCTCTACGCGGCACCTTGGATCAGCGCTCGGAGAAATTTTGCATTACTGGACAAAATGAGATCGTCCAAATCGTCCCGCTCGCTTTCCTCACCCACACCTTCAAAAATTCTGAAATCTCGCTGGATAGGAGTAGAGACCCTTCGGTGTACTTTCCGCGAGGTTTGAGCAGCACCCGTGCATAAGCCAGAGAAAAATTTGAATAGGAGTCAAAATTTTGCATTACCGGTACAGTGATAGTAGGAGAAGGAAAAGACAAAAAATTCGGATACGGGGAATCGAACCCCGAGCTACCGCGATGACTTAGGAGTCAATTGACTCTCGAAGTGAGAGGCGGTAATGTTAGCCATTACACCATATCCGATTGCAAAGTAATCCCTATATGCATTGATTGGATGCACCTTGCCTCCAGCTCTCGTTGACCTCGTCGCGGCACAGACGTCAGACTTGTTTCTTTACCTCGAGTTTCATTACTGTACATGGAGAAGCCTGAACGTCCTCCGTCGACCCCTTCCGCATTTCCAGGTCTTTCATCCGCAAACCGGTCTGAAACCGGCTCTTTCTCTCGTCAAGATTCTCTCGCACTGTCCCCTAACCGTCGACGTCATTACCTGCACGCCCTATTGCAAGATTGCTCTGCGGACGAACTGCGTTTCATTTCGAATTCTATAGCATCCTTGATGAAGCGAGACGTCCTACATGACCTCCCCGTTGAGCTTTCCCTTGGTATTTTAAGCTACATTGAAGACCCCCGGAGCCTAGTGCGTGTCAGTGCCGTGAGCCGACACTGGTACGCACTTGCAAGGGACGAAAGCCTATGGAAGAGGCTTTGTGCCCTGCATGAATACGATTTGGACGAGGAATGGTTACCGAACGACCCGTCCTTCTCGTACTACGAGCATTACAAGCGCGAGCATGTAACCGGTTAGTACCCTTGTCCATCCCTAGGCTTTATACTCGCCCCCATTCCAATCCTCCCCACCTCTATTGTGTCCGCAATTTTCACAGTTTCTAACTGGCGTCATGGTGGTCATCTTCTCCGATCCCACCGTGTTCCATTCCTCCCCGCTCCACAACCCCGTGTCAACCCCGTCCGTCTCATGGACTCTGAACACGCCTACCCTACTCCGTCCTCACCTGATGGCTCCTCGACAAACGGACAAACGGTATCCGACACCATTGGGGACACGGACTTGCCCTCTCGTCCGTCAAATCCGGCTATCCCCACCTCGGTCGCTATCGACAATGACTGGGTCGTGGTCGGTCTGGCGAACAGCAAGATCTACGTGTTCAGTGCGCGAACTGGCGTCCTCACTCGCACCCTCGTCGGCCATACTGCTGGCGTCTGGGCGGTCGCTATAGTCCGCGGCGCTGAGAGTACAGGTAAACCCGCATATTATCGTTCGAGACGGAGCGAAAGTAGTAATAGTACTAGTGACGCGTCGGAACCTGGAGATGACTATAACCGTTCCCCCGTGGACCTGTTATCTCCGCACATCAATTTTGATGCCTCTGCTCGATACGCTCTTGGGTTGCCTCCATATCCGCGGCGTCGGAAACCTTCCTCTCACAACTCCCAATCATCTCATTACTCTCCGAGTTCTGACGGAGGAGGACGGTTACCGTACGACCCATATGAAGGTCTAGAAAACGCAAAGCGAAGCGAGCCCTCGGGTGCATCAGACGGCTGGGGTCAACCCAACACGCTCATCGTCAGCAGCGGCTGTGACAAAGTTGTACGTGTGTGGGACGCCATGTCTGGGTGCGTTCCAGCTATCTACGTGATCCCTCTGCATACACAGTTGACATCCGGATGCCTAGCTTATGTCTACACATACTCTCAGGTCATCACTCCACCATCCGATGTCTCAAAGTCCTTCATGACCGTCCAATAGCCGTCACAGGCTCTCGAGACCATACCATTCGTCTATGGGACATCCAACGCGGTCGACTCATACGCGTTTTGAGAGGACACGAGCAGAGCGTACGGTGTTTGGACGTTTGTGGGAGTATCGTCATTAGTGGGAGTTATGACACGACCTGTAGGGTTTGGGATGTTGGCGAATTCGCTAGGAGGAGTCAAGATCAACAACACGGCGAGGAGGGAGGAGAACCCCACGGAGTACAGGAAGGATCTTTGCATGTACTTCGGGGCCATTTTCATCAGATCTATACGGTTGCTATTGATGGGTCGAGAGCTGCGAGTGGAGGATTGGATACGACTGTCAGGGTGTGGAATGTTCGAACCGGGTAAGCATCCATACAGTTAAAATCCTTGTTTTTAAATCCATTCCAACCAACATAAACCTCTAGCGAATGTGAAGCTCTCCTCCAGGGCCACACAGCACTCGTCTGTCACCTCCAATTCACCCCCACATTCCTCGCAACGAGCGGATCGGATGGGCGAGTCATCACCTTCTCCCTCTCACACCACTACCGAGTCATCCAACGACTCTCTGCGCATGAATCTTCCGTTTCGGCTCTCCAGTTGACGGATAGGTTCATGACGACGGCGGGGAATGACGGGAGGGTTCGGTTGTTCGAGTTCAAGCATGATTCGGGGGCTGCTCATCTTGGGCTCTATGGCACGAACGGTCCTGGGGATGACAGTGTTCCCAAGTGCGATTATGTGAGGGAACTCAGCCAGCTCTCCGAGACGGCGTGGAAGGTTGCGTTCGCAAAGAAGACGTGTGTCGTTGTGGTGAAGAGGGCTGGTAACACGGTCATAGAGATTTGGAGTTTTAGACCTAGGTGAGGTTACTCGGTTGCTCATTGACGTGGTTTTGTTAGGGCTGTAGATCTTGGATGAAATAAGATGTTGTAGAAATACCTTGGATACTATACGTGTAGAATTATTGATGTCGATAGACCTTGGACTGGACGGGTGTATTGCATCGAATGCGGGACAACTTGTGTTGCGTAGAGAAGACTAGCATCCGATATGGTGTAACGGCTAACATTACCGCCTTTCAGATCCTAGGTTCATTCCTGGAGCATGATCGCGGTAGCTCGGGGTTCGATTCCCCGTATCGGAGATCTTTTTGCTTTCACAACTGCTCGAGGGATGCTTAACATTTGGTTATTTCTGCCAGCTTCAATTACTTCTTTTTATTGCTCGTGTCGGTGGGGACGAATACCCTGCATTGTTATTGCTACACGGCCAGCAGCGAAACGGAGGAAATTATAGGTCAGACGCCTTACGGAAATTTTAGGTCCAGGACTTGAGAATTCTTGCGGGGTTATATATGTTTTTCTTACAAAAGTGAAAACCTAAGTTTACCAGCAGGAAACGGGCGTCTTCACGTTCTGCGAAGAAAAGGTCCGTGGTTGGCAAAACTGGACGCCGCGGCAGACAGAAATTTCGGTGAAACTTGCCTTATCAGGTGCATCACATGATACAGGCGCCTGCATGGTCAAGGCAACTGACGGGCCTTGGGAAGTGTGTGCAACTTGGTTATTCTCAGAGAGCATTATGAATGTTCTCCAAGGAGGCTTATCTATGGTGAACATTATAATATAAAACTGTACATCCAATGTAACACACTATGAAAGATATGGTCAGCAGTAGCCAGGTATGACTAAGTTGGAAGTTGCGGCGAGTTGGCCAGATTTCTCGAAGTCCAACCGCCTATAGAGGTTGAGGGGGTGCGCGCAGCGATATAGACATAGATGTGCAATGCTTTGCAACAGCCAAATGACTCAGTGGTTAATCGGGTTTGCGGATGTCGTCATGCACGGGACTTATCCTAGGTTGACGGCGGTTGCGGGTTCAATTCGCGATAGACACATTTTTTTCAAACGACTTTTAACCTCCGTGAAGCTCCGGCCTCCTGGGCGTTTACTTAGATCTGCCCCGATCCGCCTTATGGAAACCCCAGGTTTGCCATCCCTCGGGTTGCCATCGACTTCAAACCTATTATTTTCATATGGGTGCCACAGAGTAACCGCATGTGCCTCGTCTTACGTTTGCCCTATCGAAAGTTGCTGGCCGTGTATAATGTGCCCTGGCCTTCGAAAGCGATAGAACTTTCCGAAAATCGAATACTGTGACCTTGACGATTCCGCGCCGTGTCACAGTCAGGTGCTTGTGACAAATCGCGCTGCGCCGACCACACCTGGACCAGGACTAGGACCAGTCATTCTTTCCTTTACCCATCGTGTTGCCATCGTGCACTGAGGTCCCATGTTGACAACTCGCAGAGGTGTCCCTCACTTCGGATATAAAACTTGACAGCAGCACAGTGCGTATGCCTCAGCCCAAACGTCGTAAAGCAAACGCGGCAAATTTGGTCGCAGTACCACCAACGACAACGTTGGAAGATACTGCGGCCAATGATGCCACGAAATCCAGTAATAGTAGCTGTCGTCGGAGAGGTCGACTTCAGGACCTCCCGAAAATGCCTCTGGATATCATCTTTGAGGTAAAGCCGCAATGTCCCTGATAGTTAAGCTCGTAACTGGCAGTAGACGATTGAGATATCATTTCAGATATTCTCCCATCTTCTACCCTCAGATCTCCTCAACCTGGCTCGCACAACCAAGGCGTTTCGACAACTTCTCATGTCTAAACAGTCGGCTGCGCATTGGAGGGCAGCGCGTGCAAATGTACCGGGTTTGCCAGATATCCCGGACGACATGGCCGAGCCCGCATTCGCAAATTTGCTCTTTGATATGCACTGCCATGCATGGGTTTTGTTTCATTCCGATGGTTTACACCGACACTAACATTTGCGTTGTATGATAGGGCTGCTTGAAACCCAGTTCTTCAGAGCCGATCTGGGTGTTTCGAAAGAGGTATTGCAGCGATTGCAAGCTTGCAAAGTGAGCAATTGTTTGGTCCGCTTTATGGTTGAACTAAACACAATCACATGCTATCTCAGCATTATACCTGTGGTTCAGCTCTTGAAATATGAGGTATTCGGTCAGTGCTTTCGTTCGAAGATCACCCCTGTTCCATCTGCAGTTCTGGCGGTCAATGTCAATGGTAGGTTTGTTCTGACACAACAGTAACTCCAAGCATCACTCAACTCCGCATTAGGCCAACGGAGAGACATTGTTGCGGTGCATAAACCTGAGCTGTTCCTATTTCACGCACTGCTTGAACATTCGGTCTCCCCTGACAAAAGGGACGCGTTTATCAAACAATGGCAGAAATCATCCCAACATATCGTGCAAGTATGTCCATTTGAAACTATGGCCCGATCTTGATAACGCTGACAATCCATAGCAATCCGCTGCATTCAGTGCATGGTACGCTGATAGAAAGCGTGGTCGCCAAGATGAACTGGAAAAGATCCGCAACTCCAGATTTGATGCGTGCGTGGGCTGGACACAAATATCGTTTACGACCCTAACATCCTCCTTAGTATCACACAAAAACTACGGGAACTGGGCTGGGGGCCTGCGCTTGATCACTTGTCACAGTGTGCACCCAACAACGCCAGTCAACATCCCCTGCAGAGTTTGTCTATTGTGAAGATAGCCAAGCCGTTCAGTCTACGCAGTAGGTCGTGTTTCTAGCAATCCTGTGTCTCTTGCTAAATATATTTCCTAGCATGGCCAAGAATTTACAAAGAGATACTACCTATGCTCGAGATTGCTGAAAAGGAGCGACTCAAGGCGGAGCGGAAGCAACTGATGAAGGCTCGCCTGGAGATCCTCGCGCAGGTCATAGATGAATTCAGAGTATATTCCCGCCACTTTCTCCCCGGCATTCGAGAGTTTGTTTCGTTTCCGGAGTTTGCATCCATCATTCGTGCCCCCTCAGATGTCACTGTCACGAAAGAGATGTTCCGCGCCTTGCAACATCATGTCCCGGAAATCGTCAAGAATTGGGAAGAGACCCAGCGGGAGAAACTGTCCGAGGAGATTCGTAACATTCTGGGGGTTCCCAGCGACGTCAATCCCTTGAATCTTGCGATAGGAACTTATTTTCTTTGCCAGTGTGGAGACTGTCCACTGGTTCCTCGAGATAGTCGGCTTTGGCCACATACGATTCGTTCTGCAGTCGCCCATTCCTCGGCCGAGGTCGCTTACAAGAAATTTTCTGCCGATGAAGAAGCAGGAGTGGGACAGACATTCCCGGACCTTGATGCAGCTGCGTTACCGGAGCTACCTGACCTTCTTGAATGCCCACAGCCAAAAGAGTTTGAATTTGAACGTGAAAAGCTCACGTCTTGGATCCCGAAGTTGGTATCGAAACTAGTCAAGATGTGCGGACTGGACCCACTATCCACGACGACCGAGCAGTATGACAGTCTTCGTGCTAGGTTTGTTTGTCGTGTCTGTTCCATCGATAAAAAGACCGTAGTGTTCAATTGGCGAGCTGCAGTGAGTAAGACCATCGTTATCAGCAATGCGGAAGCACTTCATAACTCTCCTTCTTGGCTAGGGTTCAAAGAGATGCCTTACTGATGATTACAGGAGGGACTCGGTCCACCGCTACTGATGTTATGGAAGTGCACGCTAACATGTTGCCCTTCCCTCTATTGGTTGACAAGGTTTGCCAACGATCCGCTGCGAGGCTATGCACTCTACCGCCTACGAATCCCCTTGCCCCACTTATCAAGCGTGCAGCAGCGAGATACGTGAAACGGCATCGTACTCCTCTGCATGAACTACTACACCGATATAACCTCCAGCCGCAGGCCATTGAAACCATCACGCCTGTTCGCAAGCCCCCTCACTGGACACCGAGCTTTGACGTAGTCATTGCCTCGGACAAGGATGAAGCGGTGAAAGATGAAGCTGTCTGGGCCGATCGTCCGGGCGTACGGGTCTACACAGACGGGTCTGACTTTGAGGGAGGCGTAGGTGCAGCAGCAGTGATGTACAAGGCAGATCGACTGGGTTGGATGAGAGTGTCATCTTTGCGGCACTATCTCGGTACGTCCAATGAGCACACTGTCTATGAAGCGGAGGTTGTTGGCTTGCTATTAGGTGCACACCTTCTGCATCAAGAGAGAGGACTACCCAGTACCGCTTCCATCGCGGCCGATAACCAAGCAGCACTCCGCAGCTCCCTCACCCGACACTCTGCTCCCGGCCACCACCTACTCGACCTCTTTCACACTGCAGTGAAGCGCTTCAAGAAAGCACATACGGAGACGGCCCTTACCCTCCGTTGGGTTCCTGGACATCAAAATGTTGCCGGAAATGAGAAGTCAGACGAAGAGGCTAAGAAGGCTGCACAGGGCCAGGGCAGCATCCCTTCGAAACTTCCAAAATGTCTGCGCTCTCCTCTACCAAAGAGTGTATCAAAAGTCAAACAGGTATTTGCCGCAGAGCTGAAAGAACGGGCAGGGGAACTATGGAGAGCTTCACCCCGACATGAAAAGATAAGTAACATAGACCCCTCACTTCCCTCGGGCGCATTCACTAAACTTGTGAACGAACTGCCGCGCAGACATGCATCGGTGCTCTTCCAGCTTCGTACGCAAACAGCGCCTCTACAACGGCATCTGTGGAGGATAGGGAGAGCCGACGACGCGGTGTGCCCCACGTGCGGGAACGGAGTCGAGACAGTGCACCACTATCTGATGGTCTGTGAAGCATACGAGCGAGCGCGGTGGAAGCTGAGGATGACATTGGGAAGGGCGGCGGGATCTTTACGAGATCTGCTCACAGAGGAGAAGGCGCTACGCCCTCTGTTTACTTTCATTCACGCGACGAGACGCTTTCACGCGGTATACGGGAATCTTATGCTACCCAAGAAGGATGAAGATGAGGACGACGATGGAAAGGGCAAGGGAGGGAAAAGGGGCAGGCGGGGGCAGCAGAGGGGGGCGAGGGGGTGAGATGGGATTGATTAGGAGGGACAGGGTCACCGAAGGGGAAGGAAGGACTGCAGGGTAGAAGGACGGAGGACATCCCGAGGAGGCATCTGCTATTCCTCACAGTCACTTGCGCGGTGGACAGGAGCGGGGAGGAACAGCAATAATTGACACTGTAACGGCACGTCTACCATAGGGCTGAGCCCTCGAGGACGTTAAATGGGATACAAAAAAAAAAAAAAAAACTCTCCTTCTTGGCTGATTATTTCATCAGGTTTTGCATGCGGCGCAGTGCCATTGCGATACAATGAGACTGATGACCTGGACTGACGGCGATGTGAGAGAAGACGCTATGTATCTTGAGGAGCACTCGTACACCCTTTGGGAACCACGATCTGAAGCCACCGCACTCCATGTTCAGGAAGTAGAAGCTCGACTAGAAAAAGAGTCTCTGACCCAACGAGAAGCCTCTACAATTTGGCATTGTGCTCGTTGCGCCGAACAACCCGACTTGCAAACGAAATCGGATGTTTCAGATCATCTTCGGGTTGCGTACGTACCTTGAAATTTCATCTATGGCTACTGCTTGATAACTTCGTACTTCCAAGTCACTCAATTGGTGATCCCCAAGACGACGACTTCTACTCAGTACCGACCTTGGAAGACGAATACCGTTCCTACCAGGGAATCACTGTTCCGTCTTGAGGGTAAACGTGCTGACGTTGGAGGACTTCATGAGCACAAATGGTCTTCGCGCTCCGTAGTTTCGACCAGAAAAAGGTCCGGTCAACGAGGATTGTCTCGTTGCCGCTGCAATTGGTCGTTGTGTATTTCTTGTTCACTTGCGAGGCGCTTGAAAAATAGCATTTCTTGTACTCGCCGCAGATGTTATATAGTTGCAATCTATCATGCAGTCGCTGGTGCTGGCCGCTATACGCGTGCCACAAAACATGTACATGTCTAAGATGAAGTCCATCCGATATCATAATGCGTCCTAGGAGGTGTAAACATCCTACAGCGTTGACGCCAATTGCGAGTCTTCCTCCGTTCTCGCCTGGCGCATTGAGGGCCTGGCTGGCATAATGCAGCCTCTGCGTTATCATACAGAGCTCCAGCTGAGGAATATCCTAGTTGACTTCCGATGAGAACGTAAGCGGTACCTTACCATGAAGTTGCTTGGGGCAGCAGATCCCTGACCATTTCGAGTTTCGTGGTACCATGGGCAGTCTTAGGTATTTTCCATTCACCTTCCGTCAGGTTGTATGGTCCAACAGCGTTCAAGCATGATCAGAAGAAGTGCGGCTGAGGATGACATAGAATACCCCTCAACCGTACTCAAGTTTATTGGCAAGGGCTGAGAGTCGGATATAATCAGTAATGCGTACCTACAACTCAGTTTGAGTCGCAGCCTCAGTATGGGCTCAAGAAGCTAGTGTGTAGTAGCCCAAACGTTCGCATTGCAGCACATGTCCGTATGACTCTGATGCTACGTGGAACGCACCTGGCTAGCTTGAGAACCCAGGAGAAGACGATATTCGCATACAAATCATAGTCAGTCCCAATTATTGAGGAGGTCTGGCGTTCAGAATAGCACACCGCAGTACGTACCTTTGAGGTAAGATGGAATGAACGTGCACGGGATTGGGGGAAATGGGTTCAGGGAGATCATGCCTAGCACTTAGCAAATACTCGACCTGGAGACTACGTCAGGCCTTAGTACTAGGGGCGTGAGGCCTGTCAATATCAAAGTCTAGGAACTTCGTAGTCAGGGTTTTGTGCAGTGGGGTTGAGATAGCGAGAATGCATTACAGTAGTGGTGGTCCAGTTCAGAAGTTGTTCCGGAAAGTTATCCAATAAGTTCAATGACGGTGAACTCTGGTATAGCACACATGTAGTGACTGAGGCTGTGCAACCACCATCGGATATGGTGTAATGGCTAACATTACCGCCTCTCACTTCGAGAGTCAACTGGCTCGCAAGTCATCGCGGTAGCTCGGGGTTCGATTCCCCGTATCCGAAATTGCATTTTGAATGTATCCTCTTCTTTTACTTCTAATTTTTGACCTCGCCAACCATGTGACACACTTCATAAGCAGACAGTGCACGCGTCGAGGTCAAGTCTTAAGAGAGAAACACTCTGGGCGGAAACATACAGTAAGTATAAGCGATACTACGAAAGCAAATAATCCGAACAAGCTGATGAATCATAGTAGGGAATCGAGCTTCGAAAGCACCTCTAACACGCCCGCGACCAATTCAAAACATAGGTCCTCGTCGCCATGCATCTCCTTCTTGACCTCCTGCACGAGCCCCAATACGGCTTCCCTCCCACCCATACCCGAACTCCCCATTCCGATCCTGGATGCGTCCCTCTTCCTCGACGAACCGCCAGACAGTGATGCGGAACCAAACGGCCAACAAGCAAATTCGGCAAGGATATCATCACACCGCTGGAACGCCGCCTCACGTTCCTCGTACGTTAACCTCCCAAACGCATTATCCAGCACGCTAGCAGCATACGCCGCAATGGCAAGACAAACCGCTCTCGTGGCTCGAGCCTGCGTGCCTTCTTTGCCAAGCGCAGCGGGTGGTACGGCGGAGGTGGTGAAGGTGAGGATGGTGACTACGCGGTTGACGATGGAGTCTTTTATGCGCATGTCTGCGATTGGGTGCGTGGCCATGTCGAAGAGAAGGAAGTTGCGTTTCTCGGTGCGCAGAACGCCTTTGTCTACGAGACCTTTTGCGAGCCGTTCTCGGACCTGTTTTAGTTGGAAGCCAATCTTCATTACGTTCCATGTTTCCCCTGCCATCAACAGTAGATTCATGTATGGTTCTGGGAAGCGAGAAGATGAGAATCCTTACCACTCAGCAAGTCTATCCAGGTATTCACGGACATCTTCTCTATTGCCTCCTGTCCCTTCATTAACTTCAAAGTTTCATCGAGCAACGTCTCCCCTGTACTCCGTTCATCTATCACTTCCAGTATACGTTCCGATAATGGCAGCTGTCGTCGGTTGGGGTCCTTGACGAGAGCTATCCGCCGCCGTAATGCCAATTCGATGAGAATGCAGCCTCGGAGGGCATATGAGATGTTGTCATTCCAGAAGGATAGGTACCCCTACGGTTCAGAAGGGTGCGAGAGCTTCTGGTCAGTTCAGAGCATGGAATCCGGGTGTACAATTCGCAAAGTGGACGAGGTGCGCAGCATGGAGCCGAGCGCCTTGGAACGGACAGCGCAGCGGTCAACGAGAGGGGGGAAGAAAGACAACGAACTTGAAGAGGAATAGGATACAGGAACGTACGGATTAACACACCTGCTTATCCTTCAAACCTAGCAAGAGGACTTCCTCCATGATTGTTAGCATGGGCGCCTTCCCGCCCTGCCTAATGTCCTCATCCTCTCGTTCCAAGTCTCGAGGGTCATATGCAATCTTGCTACCCCTTTCAAATGCAGAGCCCCCATGCGAAGCGAGGCCCGTATGTGAAGATGTGCTCGGGGTAGCAGAATGGTTGGTGCTTCCGCCACCTGTAGAGGAACCGTTAAGACCCCAGGCGTCGTCGGCGTCGTCATTGAGTGACGCGGAGGCTGCTACGCGTCGGCGAGAAAGACCACCTGCGGACGCCATGTTTGCTTGCCTGTCCAATGGATGTGGTGGAGACTGGAAGAGCTCGTCAGTGAAATGGAGTCTGGACGAGATGCCAATTCCTGTGAACAGCTTGAGCTTCGGGCGTTGAATAGCCTCACTCCCTTGTGTCGTTGTGGGCAGTGACGGATGTCAGCTGCTCATGGCAGTGTAGCCAAGTGGTTACGGCGTCACGTTTAGGCTTTTCAGCATTATACCGTGATGGGTTTCCCGCGCGAGTTCGAATCTCGTCACTGTCAATTTACTTTTTGTTTTTCTTTCCCTCTTTCATCCAGCATCTACATTTTGACCAAGTTTCAAGTTAGCTTCAAGCTCCTACCAATGTTCTACAACTCGTCCTCGATCAGCTCTATGCAGCTCACTCGACATCGTGCATGGGAAATCTCATGATCCTCGAAGGCTTACCTCCGCCAGGTGAGCGGAAGAACGGATTGAGATCATAGAACGAACTATTCCCTGGGACGTCAACGTTTCAACTCCGAATGGTTGTAATTGGACTGATATTGCCATCGGTGACCGTATACCAGCATCAATCCCCCTGGAATTTACTTACTGCATGCGAATTCACTGTAATATCAATGAAATACTTGGGTGCCGTTGGTTACTAGGCCCGGCGTTGAAGTAAGTTCTCCCAATTTATCGTTCCTAATCCCACGGGATTTAACTCGAGGGAGAAAGAATGGAGGTAAGGTCGAATCGACCTAAACGCGTGTTGCATTTCGTACTGACCGTGACCCAGAGTCCGAAAGTTATGAAACACGAGGCTGGTCTTCTTTAAGAGCCCGAGGTGCGATATGTAGCTGCAATGCAGTCCTTGGGCATTCTCTAGTCCTCATCAGACCAAGGACCCCGCCTGCGGTTACGAGGGTCTTTCTAGGGTGCTCGACGTACCCGGTGTACGCTGCTTTACTTATAACTCTTCGTCCTCCGTTGCGGCCTTCCTGTAAGTTTCGTTCCCTCTGGCGTATTGCTCAGCTCATTGTCCTTTGTTCCTCAAGGCGGAGGTAACGCTACCGTTCTACCGTTAGGGTAGATTCTTGTCTCGTCTTTCACATCCGTGTCACTCCCCTCCCCCGTGATGGCTGAACAAGACTCGTGTCGTTGGTCGGAACTCGTTCCTCCTCACACTGCTTTGACGTTCGCGGCCATCTGGGATCCGGCTGAAGGAATTATCACCTTCTCCGGAGGAGACCTCCTCGATGCTGACCTCTCTGACACAAGAGACTCTTCATATGCGCCAGACGAAGCTTTCGAGAGCGAATCCCAGGTTCTGACTATTGACAGATTTGCATGGGCTCTTGCCTCGGGCGTCGAATTGCGCCCTATGGGTAAAGGCTTGATTGCATACGCGTCCAATCGAGCGGGCCACGACGCTTACCATGACGATCAATACTCTACAGCCGACTCAGTATCGGTCTATTCCCAGCAGACCCGACGACGGGCTGATAGTACGAGTTCGACCGCCAAAATATGGAGCATTGGCAAGCAGCTCCTCTTAGCTGCAAAGACCCCCTTCGACGGGCGTATCTTTTCCCACTGCCATCACGAGGAGAAACGCCTCAAGGATCGCCGTGATGGGGCTAAAGACGGTGTGGTAGAACGGGACGAGGCCTCTTCTGATGAGGGCTTCTTTGAGGAAGCGTGCTTTACTGCTACCGGTCAAAGCTTCGGGAGCACGCCCGTGCTCGTTAACCTCAATCTCGTACGTCATCCTTAATTTTGCGGACTGTATTAACGACGATTATTGACTGTTCCGTTATTTTTTCCATTCGCCCTTTCTATGTTCGTTGCCGACCTCTCAATTCAATCCCTGTCTCACGGGATCGCAGAAGTCGACATTCTCAATGACGACAACTTCGACCACGAACTATGTCCATGTACGCGTCCCTTCCATCTCAGGGGCGGACTCCGGATACGGCAGTACACCTCCACATCATGTTCTTTCTGCCTCTGCTACAGATTCCGGCTACGGTAGTACTCCACCGCGGCCTGCCCGCCCACCTCCCGTCGATCTGACGTTCATAGACGAATTATCGTTATCAGAACCGTCAGAGGTGTGGTCTACGCTTCCCCAACCCCACTCATACGCTTATCCATCCACCTCCGCCGCCTCCTCCCCGAGCAATTACCCGAGACAGAGGAGGAAACTCCTGAGAAAACACGTTCCTGCGAGCATGTATCCCGTTGATCCAAATCTAGTTCTAGCACGGGAGGATTACAACCACGTCCTTCCACCCACACCCCTGGATGGCTCGAATGACGATGAGCATGACGAAAGGTGGTCAGGGCATTGGAAGGTGGTGTGCAGGAAGCCGTCTCTTGCGAAGATAAAGGGACTGGTAACGAAGATAAGGAAGGTTCGATGCAACGTGGGAGACGGACGGAGCGAGTATGAGGATGAGGACGATGAGGGACATTGGCCTGGAGGAAGAGACGACATGGGCTGGCAATACGTTCTTCGATGCGGCAGCGTCCTCGACTTGTGAGTCGTCGCGTCAGGACTCGTTCGTTGTTTTGTTTTTTTCCTTCCTTCTCTCTTTCGCTTCACCCTCTACCGTTGCGAATCGTGCCATGCACTTTACGCGTGCTTGATCTATTTTTGGCTTTCAGCTCGGGACTTTCCTTCCTCCTCCCAAAGCCGTTCATTCTCTTGTTCTCTCGTCAGTCGTTTTGGGGCCCCACCAGTCGTGCACTTCATCTCCGCTTGACGATACTGTCGTACGTCGTACCTCACAATGTGTGTTTGACAATCGTGGGAGCAAACGATACACAGTGCGTGCTGCGGGAGACATGTGCTCTTGGTCTACTACATTTTCCTTCGTTGGCAGTTGCTGAACCATTCCCTTGGCCTGGTGCTTTGGCTTTACCTTCGTTTGCCAATTATTCTTCCAATCCCCCGCCGCTCCTTAACATTTGAAATACGGTCTTTTCCTTGCTTCTTCGTTCTTCCAGTGATATAAATGCTATGCCCCCAGTATCTTGTAACTTCGTTGTTCTCTCACACTTTGTTTCCTTTCCGTCTCCTGGGCTGCGGTAGGCTGTAGCGTTGTAATAGTGCTAGATGTATATCAGACCTGTACACGATAGCTATGAAATGTACGTATACCTTTTATGATAACTTCGCTGATCTCGGGGGGACGTTAGGTCCTCGGGAATGCATCCTTAGACCTGGTTGCGCCCTTCATTTCATTTCATAGCCGCTGTTAACCACTCGGAGTTGCCCCGTATGCGAGCATGTCAATGGCCTGGGTGACAGGAATAGAGGGGATGAATATAGCTGTCCTCAGCTATACGAACCCCGCGACCGTCCCTACTAGTAATAACTGGTATGTTGGGCGACAGTTGGTGAATGTAGAGTCGCGTCCACTCTTCAATCCCGCATCAGTATTCGCCTGAGATGAGGCTTCATGTATACTAGTAGCCAATGAACGAGAGACTCACTAAATGCTTGGAGAACTCAGTCTCACAAGTCAAGTCATTTTTCGCAACCCGAGCCAGTGACCGCCGGAAGGCCTGAGGGCACCCGGACGACTTTCGTCTTGTCAAGAAAACTAGTATACCATTGAAACTAAACTAAACCCTGTCTTCCTACAACTTAGACCCTCAATTGACCTCGCCTTTCCACTCCCTGTTCGACTGGAGCCCTTTGCTACACTAACCCAATACAGCTTCATTTCAAGTCACTATTCATGCATTTCATCCTGATCGCCAATTGCTCCGACTCCCCGGCTTTCTAGATAAACTAGGAGGAAGGTTTTGGTCGGGCGGGAGAGTTAAAGGCTGGTTGGACGGACGTCGCTGTCCAGGAGGTGTCAACGGAGTGTCAGGGCGAGGCGGAATTACAGGCGGCTCTTGATGCATAGGTCCACCGTAATTGCCAGGGTACGGTGGCGGCGGTTGTTGGTGCTGTCCGTACTGTTGTTGGGGAGTCGGGGGATGGAAGGAGATGGGAGGCGGCTGCATCTCCGGGCGCAGTCTGAATTCTTGTCGAGAAGACGGTTGCGGTTGGAAGGAGATGGGAGGCGGCTGCATATCCGGGTTCAGTCTGAACTGTTGTCGAGAAGGCTGTTGTGGGGGATGGAAGGTGTTGGGAGGTGCTGCACCATATGAGTGTTGTGATGCTCCGGGTTGAGCCTGCGGAGGACCATAATGATTGGGGGGTGCTGCGCCGTATGAATAGCCAGACTGTTGCACCCTAGGTGGTTGAGCCTGTGGTGGCCCTAATTGACCCACAGGGGCAACGCCGTACGAGCCGACGTGCTGCGCATTGGAAGGTCGCGTTGGCTGAGATTGAGCGCCCCCGTAATGGTAGGGATTGCCGTTTTGTGGAGCTCGTTTCATGAACGAGGTAGCAGCTTCGGCAATCTCGTCTGAGTCGGCTCGTGCCTCTAAAAGGGACTGCGATGCTGGTTCATGAGGAGATCGAGCCTCGAGCGAAGACGCGTCTCCGGATGTTTCGCCTGCAAGAGGTATCGCGAATGCCGTCGTATATGCCACGGCGGCGAAGGCAAACGTGAAGAGGGCGGAGAAACGCATCGTGAGGGTGACCACGGAGGCAGCTATATGGTTATCGTGTAACGCGGACGCGGACGTGGAAGGAAGTCGTCAGGGAATAAATAAGTCGATATGAAGAAAGTTCAGGCTAGCATCGTTGAAAGACACAATTGAATCAGTACGCATTCAACGCCGTGGTCTGGATAGAAAGCAGCACTCGCAGACCAGCACCTGGAGTTCGAAGTGTGAAGATGAGACCAGCTGAGGAAACGACGGCCCACCTGGTACGACTAATATACATCATGCGCACCTTGCATAATTGCCGTTTTGTTCCATGAGTAGACCCAGAGTGAACCTGCCGTGGGCTTGGAAGTTTAGTACGGGATGTACCAACCACAGATCAATAATTGTCAAACATTACCACCAGGAGGACTTGAGGGGTCGACGTCGTGACGAGGATCGACCGGCGAAGTACGGGTGTAGAAGACTGCTCAAATTGTACTCACAAGTAAAACTAGTGTTTAGACTGCTCGTGCTCATAGAAGGGCCGTGCAGAGTTGTGCAGTCAGGTCAAGATCGCTGGGCATTCGAATATGTATACCATATGAATAGGAACTCACTAACAAATGCTTAGAAGACGAAGATCACCCCTGCTAACGTGAGGAATGTCACTCCCGCCCGAGAAACCCTGGGGATGATAGGATCTGGATGATCGAACTGAGGTCTCACATGAGTAAGTATATGC